GGCCTGAGACAATCCACAGAGAAGGGAACTTGGGCCACATCTCCTCCCTCCTATCAACACTGACTGGAACCAGAGGAAGGAGAGCCACTGTAGCATCATATCCCCCATCCCCAATCCCCTGAGCTGATCCAGAAGGATACCATGATCAATGGAACTGAAAACTGCTGAGGGAAAGCCAAGGAAAGCCAGGATCGATGCACTATCCCCATTCTGTCCCTGCCAGAGGCCATCTACAAGCACAATCAATGCTGTTTCAGTCCTGTACTCCAGGCCTGTTGAAGAGTTAAGTATTCTAATGCCACATTAAAGAAGACTGCTCTTCTCCCCTTCATGCATTTTTCTCCACACAGTAAAATGCAGCCTCCTTCCAGGAGAAACTGGTGAGCAATGAAGAATGTAAACTCCTGTTGCTTGCTCCCCCATTTTTAAACCTGTTAGTAGAAAATTACATGCAATTTGAAATTACATGCATGTAACCATATTTGGTCTGTTGCATAAACACTATATGATTATGGCTGTAAAGCATTTCACCCTGCATAATTAAAAATTAGGCACATAATATCCAAAAACCTTCTAAATCTTAACAGATTTCAAACTTTTCAGAAGCTTAACCCATAAAAATTTAGAAAGCTTCTAAATGCACAAAAAGAACAGAAAAATCCAAGAAACAATTAAGATTCTAATATCTTCAATATCCTAAATTACAGATTAGATTATTTTTTACAGCAAAGCATATAAAACCATTTTACCTTCTTCAACACTTATCAGCTTAAATGCTATCTCTTCCTTTCATAGTGACTTTGAAAGATAACTGTCACATCAAAAGGTACTTTTGAAGTACATGCTTGCTATCAAACAACTTGGTGACACAGAGATGTAAAACAAACTACTGCTGTAAAACACAACAGATGCTTTACAACTGGCATAAAAGGTACTGGACTAAGTAAAATACAAGCAACAGTTCAAAATATTTAAATAATGACAATGGAAAATGTGCATCAAATAACAGTGCTCTTTTCCTACTTTTTTACCCTATCAATGGTTCATAAGAGTGAAGCTTATTTAAATTCATTAATGTGAAGTAAGGTAAAGACAGCAACAATAAAGATCTGTACATTTCATATGTTAGTTCTATATTTAAGTGATTGAAATGAAATGGTTTCTAAAAACCACCAACATATGAAATGTACAGATCTTTATCCTTTGTTAGATTAAGAACAAGAACATTCTCACTAAACTGGCAAGCACAGATTTCAGATGACCAGGAAAGATTATGTCTAGCTGAAGATGCTCAAGATTGTTAACACAAATTCGGGGGGAGGGGAAGGGGGGAGGACAGTTGTAACAAAAACATCATGGGCTATAAATTCATGAAGTATATCACAGCAAGCTTCTTTAATCCACAAAAATTGTTGCTTGACTCATATATTGCAAAGGCAACAGCAAGCCCCTATTTGATCAAAATCAGTTAACTGTCTGAACAAAAATCTTTTATTTGGAGGTACATATAACTCCAAATCTAATCTGGTTTATTGACATATACAGATAATTATGGATTATCTTGAGCTTTTTAGGATACAGCAGCATTGTAGTATATTCTCTAAACTTACACCTAAATTCAAGTCTGAGTCCTGGCAAATATTTCTGCCCTTTTATGGAAATAAAGGAGTTACAGAAAGCTTAATGTAACTTAAACCTGGAGGATGCAAAGTCATTAAGAAAGGCTCCCAATGTATACTTTAAGGTTCTAAGTAGAATAATTTTCAGGAAGCTATAAACTTAAGGAAAACTGATGCTCTTAAAACTGTTAGACAAGGTTACCCACAAACCTTGAAGATACTGGGAAAGGGGATTGTCCAAGAGTGTAATTCAAGGTACTATGAAACATACAATAAAGGACAATTAAACAATCATTATTACGATGAGGAAAAAGAAGATAACCCAGATAAATCCAGTATTTGAAATATAAATCTGAGCCTGTTTTGAACTTTGGGGATGGTCTTCATGGTATGATCTAAGGCAGTGTTTTTCAAATTTGGCAACTTTAAAATGGCTGGGGAATTCTGGGAGTTGGGCTCCATGCATCTTAAAGTTGCCAAGTTTGAAAAACTCTGATCTAAGGCATATGAGGTTGCATCCTTGCTGAAGCTAAACAGAAATAGGTCTATCTACTGTTTGAATAAGAGACTGTCTCAATACATTATCTTGGAGTCATGATGGAAAATGGTGGACTATATATTGATGAAATACATAAACAGAGAAGGAGTACCCTTCCCTGCCTCAGATTTTTAAAACTTATACCAAAACTTTACATTCTCCATTTCAACAAGATCAACCACAAACACACAGAAAGTGAAAGGAGTCTTAGTACTGACAACTGAAGTATTTTTCCTGCTCAGCTAAATTCTGAGTTAGTTCTACATGAGACTTAAATTATTTTAAATGTTATTTAACTATTTATAAATTATTTATAAATGAGTAAATATTAAAGACTGCATACTTTCAAGTCTTTCTTGCAGACTTGACCCAGTGACCAAATTCCAGCATGATCCCATCCAAAGGATTAAATTGGACATTCAAAATGAATAGGTGGGAGCAGCTTTGCTTCCTGTTTATCGTCTCCAAGTCCAAAAAAAAATAATTTTAACTGCTTTGATCTTATATTTTCATTTTGCATTAACATAATTGATTTCTAAATGCATCAGTGCTGATATCTTATTTGAGGCCTCACTGATGTTATTCAAGGATTTATAACGACATTTCATTCTTTCAATTATAATCTAGAGTATAAAAATTAATTGCTTATTATTTCATGGCCAATATCTTGCATGAATTAAAATACATTCATCACCCATAGAGTTGTACCTGTGCACATAACTAAAATGATTACTGTTTAAGATATCTCCATAACCAGGAGTTTTAAATCTGGTGAATAAATACAGGATTTAGAAAAATCAACTGATTTCTTTTTTATAATGCCTTAAAACACTATTTTCAATTTCACACTGGCTGTGTCTGCAGCTGACTCTAAACAGTATACTGCAGAATCATTCCAAAACACAACTATAATTGGAAATTAATCTGGAAATAAAAATAACACCAGTCACATCCAAATTGATAATCCTGTTTTACTGTTTCACTATTAACCCATAATTTGAAAGTTGGGTTTATACTTATTTCCAGATTCCAATTTATCTGGGAATTTGTTTAAAAATTCTGCTTTATTTTTAGCTGGAAGTAGGGCTAATTTTTTTTTATTAAAGATTCACTTGAACCATGTCCTGGGTAACATGGGTATATCAGTGTACGTTTATTTGTTTCATTTACTTCAGAGTCTATGTTTCAGCTCTGAATGTATGCTAGATTATAGCCCACCTACTGGGGATGGCTAATACCTCCTAATATTACTTTACTTTCATCAGAATTAATCCCAATAAACATTTCCATTGAACCATTTTTAAAAGAATCTAAAGGTCAACACAGAAAACTGTAACAATATTTTCAAGAAAGAACTGTATGAATTTGTATTTTAAAAAATGCTTAAAGAAATTAGTATGACATTTTAAAAATATCACCAGATATCTTAAGAGGTATGTGTGTGCGTGCCTTTGAATCAATGTTGACTCTTGCCGACTGCCAGGACAAGTCCCTAGGGTTTTCTTGGCAAGATTTCGGAAGTGGCTTGCCATGGCCTGCTTCCTAGGGCTGAGAGGGAGGGACTGGCCCAAGGTCACCCAGCTGGCTTTGTGCCTAAGGCAGGATGGTCTACTGGTTTCTAGCCTGGTGACTTAATGACTACCCCAAACTGGCTCTTTGTCAAAAGTGACATCTAATTGGCTTAATTAACAAAAAAAGAACATAAAGTGCCCTCCCCCCACCCCCGAACTATGGGTAAAAAGCACCTAGTTCAATACAGATCAGCTTTAAAAAAATGGAAAAAAAAAAAAGAACTCTGAATCTTGTATGGAAAAATTAAGCAGTAGATTGTTCAAGAATACACAGCAATTGGCAGTGATTAGCTTTACCTACTGGAATAAGTTGCTTACTGGCAAATTACAAGAAATGCAGGGTTAACTCTGACTAAAATTCATAGCAAGCAATGCAGTTTGCAAGATATATGCTGTCTAGCTCCCCATTCTCAAAACCAATTTTAATCATACAAAGATAAATCACAGCTTCAGAGCTCATTAATACATCCACATAGCTATATAGCTGAAGGGAAACCAGCTATCCTCCAAGCCACTTTCCCAAGTCCAGACCTTACTTTAAGAAAGTAAAAATAAACTCAACTCACTTCAACAGCATTTGTGGCTTGTTGGTAACCCAGCCACTGTAATGGACTGAAATACTCTAAAGAAAGATGATGTTTTATGTATGTGAATAGCTCCTGTCATTTTGAACTCTGCATAAATTATACCCTTATGATGAACACTCTGTAGAGTAGTCTCTTAATCCTAACAAGTTTTTTTTATTATTTGACTGAATGAAACTGATCAGTTGCATTATAAAGTATATTCACATTAAAAAAAAACAACACGATCTTGAAAGCTTTGCCATGATGGAATGCCATAAGAAACCCAACAATTTCCAAAATACATTCCTTTTAAAATGAGGGCCAGGTTGCTTCTCAGTCTTCCAAACAAGAACAACTTTTGCCAAACGTCTTAAATCTCATGTCCTAGGGATTAGCAAGGTTGCTAAACTCTGAAGCAGAAGACACATCATACATTCAGCAAAATTAAAGCTTACTTTCTAAATGCTGAGAATTAAAAAAGGATTGAGCTCCTAGTGCACCTCAAAGCCAAAAAGGGAAATATTTTGTTTTAATTCCAGCTGCAGTTATATGATTATTCTGGCATCAAACATTCAGTTGAATAGGACGTACTGCAACAAATGTGTACAATGAACATAGTGCCAACATAGAAACATAAGGAAGTTTGCAAAGATTTGTCTGGGGAAATGTTTCACTGCACACATGCTTTTTCTACGTTTCAACTTACGTCTTGAGTGGCGTCTTCTTCTTTTTTGCAGGCTTATTTAGGCCATCTCCTTCTGATCCATTAATTTCATTGACATTAGCTGAAATCTCAAAGGAGGCTGGAGATTGTGTGGGAGAGCTGGCTACCTTTGAGGAAGGCTTGAATGGATCAAGAGAATCCTCAGAGATGTCTGGATCAAAATTGTACGTTGTGGTGGTTTGCTGGGGCAGTTTTGGAGACTCTTGCATTTTGCAAGTGGAAGAGAATGGATTGAAGTTGGGATCATCCCATTTGTCAATATCAAAAGTATACGAGCCTTTGGGGACAGGAATCTCATTGGGTTCAGCAGGAGTCTTGGTTGGGGTTGTGGGAGTATTGTCAAGTTTCTCCCCAGTCTTTTTAGTCTTTGGCCTCCTTAGGGGCATTTTAGCCCCAGGCTTTTTGCCCACTTTTTTGGGCAGAAGAGGACTCTCTGTCTGCTCCTCACCACTGCCTTTTTCCTCAGAATAATCAAATTCCAATCTCACTGATAAACCTTTCACTGGAGGATTTTCTTGTCCCCCAGTGTCTGACGGTGTCACCTCCACAGCTTCTGGTGTTGTGGTAAGAGATACAGTTTTCTTATTGGCAAGTGGAGAGTTCTGTACTTTGCTGTCTCCTGATACAGGAATTTCTTCCAAGTTATTTGGGTCAAATGGACACAATGCCTCTAGTCCTGGAGTGGGCTCGTCTTTCTTGACAGTAGTTTGAGAAGTGTTGGTACCCTCAGGTTCAGTGGGCTCCAAAAGTTGTTCAGAAACTTTTTCGTCACTTGAGGCAGCAGAATCTTGTTTGAGGTCTAATATTCCCGGCTCTTTTACTGGAGAAACGTCCAAGGATTTTTTTGCTAATTGTTTTTTCTTTAAGGAAGCTGGTCTAGGTTTTTTTGTGCGCTTAAGAGTACTAGAAGCACTGCTTGAACCAGTACTAAAAGTATCTGTTGCAGAACCTGCTGTCTCGTTATTCCCAAGAAAAGAGGCTCCATCAAATTCTCCAGCTTGCAAACTAAGTGAACGAGATAAAGTAGATCTAGAAACTGGCAAAGAATCTGTGGATTTTCTTCTAACATGTGACTTAGAATCCCGACTCCTTGTGTCCAGAGAGCTCGGATCTACAGCTTGTAAGGAATCTACAACTTCAATGTTATCAAAGTCTAGGTTGTAAGTTCCACTGCTAGCAATTGGCTTGTCTTCATCAAAAACTGTAGAAAATGAGTGGGGAGGAGGGGGCAATGGAGTTTCTTCAAGTGGTTCACAATGAGAAACATCAGTTACTGATACCGTTTCAGAACAAAAACCTATAAAAAGCAAAGGCAAAAATGATCAGCATTTAGGAATGTTGAATCTGAAATAGTTAGAGAAAAGAAAGCAGATTATGTATCCTATAATTCAGGATACTTTCCTTTTAAAATGATCAGTTCCTTTAATCCTAAATATTTCTTTTTCTCATCCTACTCTCTCCTTCTTCAAGACAAGCATTCAAATCAGGAAACACACATAAAAACCAAAGGGGGGGGGGAGGAAACAAGAAGTGAATTAATTTTTATGTTTTTCCAAAAACAATTTCTAACAGATTTTATTTTGGATACATTTACTTTAAAAATATAACATGGGTAATTATATTTTACAATCAAATCAAAATCTTTTATTATAATCATAGATCAGAAAAAAATTTTATAATTGTGCAAGTCAACAGAATGCTATCAAGACATTTCCATAAACTGAAAATCAGTATTGATAGCAAATCTTGTAACCCTGAAGTCCAAATGGGAAATGTGTTGTTAACAAGGAAGAAGCTGCATATATTTGCCCTTATCTGAACTTCTACTTTCCACTGTAGGGTTTGTTATGTGAGGCAGGATAGGCCTACCATGAACTGAAGAAAGGAATAAGAAATCATTTCCAACTAGCAGACACACATTCTGTAATACTGCCTTCTTTCCTGTTAAGCCCTAATACTCTGTCAGCAGATTTTGGCTGATGATGCAGAGACAAGCTTTCAGAGAGTGATTGAGATTTATCTGATATTGTCTTGCAGGATGATGAAAGCAGTGTTGCAGCATTACAGTGCAGACCCTCTCCTCTTCTGCATGTGTTGCGATGTCATGTGCATGAAAGGGATGGAGTTTACAGTGCAACATTGCTTTTTTCATTCTTCCAAGGCAGCACATTCTTATAGGCACACATGCTACTGGGGTAAAATAACTTATTGTAGGAACTGGCAGCCATGGTCCAACTCAGAATTACATACAGTATACATTTACTGCCTTAGTGCAGTAACTGCAATTTTTTTATGTCATCTGTTAAAAAAAAATCTGAGCATTCTAAATTTTAAGATATTAAATAGGTTACTGAGTGGAAACTGTGACTTCATCTGAACATCGTTTTCCTACCAGAATTCCAACATGATTAATTTAAATTTAAATCCATATACCACACTGCCAGTCCTTGGGCAAAACAATTATATTCCCATTATACTTCCACACTGAAAATAAGGCACTGATGATAAAGAATCAAAGTGGAAATAATTTACATCATTATTACTGGCTGTCAGTGTTGATGTTTTCAGTAGATGAGCTGTCATTTTCCCCTGGCAATTATTGTTCGAGTCATGTGATCCCATAAAATCAATATTAAAACAAAGCCAAAAGCATATTCACAATCTACAGTATTTTTCCATGAATAAGACGCCCCCATGTATAAGACAACCCCCACT